AAAAAGTATACTAAGATTATAATAATCTATCTAGACTATATTCTCTCTAATCTTTAGTAGAGTAAAATATTTAAGAACTTTTATAATTAAGAATAAAAGAACTTTTATACTTTCCTAAAATTATAATTAGATAATTTAGAGAGTTATAAGTAGGAAGTATAGTTATAAATATTTTAAATAAGATCTTATAAGGGAGAAATAGTCTATATATATTAATAAAGATAATATAAGTAATAGATTAAAATTAAAAAATATTATAAAAAATATAAAGAAAGTATAGCTTTATCTCTTCTTTAAGTTTTTCTCTATAATATTTAAGTAGAAGATCTATAAGTATTTAGAGTTTCTAAAATCTAAAAAAAAGATAATCTTCCTACTTATAAGACTATATCTAAATATAAAATAGAATATTTATTAAGATTCCTTATATAAAGATAAGGATTATTAAAGCCTTAGAAACTTAGGAAAGCTTCTTATAGATTATATTATTATTAAGAAGATATAGATAATAGGATCTATTATAATTATATTATTTATAAAGAGATAAGGCCTATAGTCTTATATCTTTAGTATCTTATAGGTCTACTTTAATTATAATAAGGAAGAATATATTATAAGATATTATTTAAATAAGCTTAAGTAGGAGAGCCCTATAAAGACTAAATAACTAGTTATTATTATTATTATTAAAGAGTAGAATAAGAAGTATTATAGATTCTTACTCTTCTACCTAAGTATATTTCTTTAGGCTTAAATAGAAGAGAAGGAAGAGGGACTAATCTTATAAGTATTAATTAATAATAAAAGCTTAGTTAATCTTATCTTTATAATACTAGCTAAAGAAAATAACTAATATATCTTATTATAATAGGTCTTTATAGAGATATTAATCTTATAAGAAATAAGAAATAAAGAAGTAATAGAAGCTACTATCTTAGTTAAGAATAATAATAGAATAGAGTAGCTCTTTATAGAGCTTATAGTAGTATTTCTAAATATAAATTATATTATCTTAGGGATGCTATAATTAAAGTAGTATAATCTTATAATTTTTTAAAGAGAAAATAAAGTAATCTTTAGTATAGAGTTAGCTCTATAAATTTATCTAGTCTTAGTAGAAGAGTTTATAGAAGTAGAAGATATAATAATTATAATAATATAAATTATAAAAACTCTATAAAAAATAATAAAAGATAAGAACTTTATACTAGACTAATTTATAGATTTTTATATAGTCTTCTTAGAGGAGAAGACTTAGGAATTATTATTATATTATAAAAATATAAATCTAGAGATAGATCTAAAAAAAGAGAAGTAACTATTCTTTAGATCTCTTTATAATTCTTTTTTAGTAGAATTAGTAGTACTTTATAAGTATCTTTAGATAATACTTATAAAGAAGTAGATCTAGGAGTTAAAGTTAATAATAAAAATATTAATTCTTTTTATAAAGAAGAAAGATAGCACCCTCTAGCTATATATTAATTATTATAATCTAAATTATATTATCCTAAAGAATTACTATCTACTTCTCCTTATTCTAGAGATTATTAAAAGACTTATAAAGAGGAGGATTTTTATATAGCTAGATCTTTATAAAACTTATTATAGGATTAGGATTATAAAGAAATAGGAGTAGAAAATAGTCTTTTATATAAAATATAGGTTATTTAAGTATTTAGTTATATCTTTTAGGCTTACTAATACTTCTATAATATTCTAGAGCTTTATAAACTAGCTATTCTGTAATTATCTAGATATCTTTATAATAGTCTATATCAATAATATTATAGTATTCTTATAAGATAAGAAGGAGTATTATAAGTATATCTACTTTATAATAATCTAACTTTAATAAATAGGACTATTTATAAAGTTAAGTAAGTATCTCTTTATAATAAAGAGAATTAACTTCTTAGGTTATATAATTATACTAGAAGATCTAGAAATAAAATCTTTATAGATTAATACTATTATAGAATAACTATAACTAAAATCTATGAAGGAGATCCTAATATTCTTAGGGTTTACTAACTAATATAAGAGGTTTATTAAAAGATATTTATACTTTTTAGTATATCTCTTAGATTTCTTATAGAAACCTAGCCTAGGGAGTAAGAGGAGGACTTTAGAAAAGAAGTTCTTAACTCTAGAAATAATAAATATCTTTAATAGATTAAAGAAAATATTTATAGAGTAGGTTATTCTTATCTACTTTTATAAGAAGTACTATATATAGATAGAAATAGATATATCTAGATATACTATCTATAGGATACTATTATAATTAAGTAAGGAGGGTTATTAATAGTTAGTAGCCTTCTTCTTATAAAAGATATAATTTATAGAGAAGAACTATAGTATTTATAACTAGAAACTTCTTATAATAATAGAATTCTTTAGGGACTAGTACTACTACCTAGAGAGTTTATAAGAAATTATTAAAGTTATTATTAATTATAATAGTCTTTACTACTTTAGGACTATATCTTAACTATTATAAAGATAAATAAGATAGTTATAAATACTTATAATATTTAATTTTAAGATAGTCTTTTATATTAGAAAGAAGAATCCTATAGATAGACCTATATAAAGGACTAATTATAAGAGAGAGGCTATAAAGACTAATATCTAGGACTAAAAGAGTAGAGACCCTAATATATTAAGATAGTAGTTAATACTTTATAAAAGGGAACCTACTAAAGTAAATACTCTAGAAGATATAAAATAAAAGATTTATATAGTACTAGTCTATAGGATAATAAACTTATAAAAGAGACTAACTTAGGGAGCTAGTATCTATAAGAGTATCTAGGGGCTAGGCCCTTATATAAGAGATCTCTCTATAGAAATTTAGGTTTTATTACTAAGATTACTTATATAAGATAAACTTATAAAGAAGGTCTATATAATATAGATAAAAGCTATAAAGGAATTATTATAGCCCTATTATATAAAGAATAAATTATTATATTAGATAAGCTATAAATGGCTCCTCTATTATAAGCGCTTATTCTATATCTTAGATTATTATAACTTAAGATTAAGTATTCTTATAAAACTCTATAATAATCTCTTTATAGGTTACTTTATAGAATAAAGAATAAGAGAATTAGTCCTAAGATACTTCTAGTAGCTAGAAGTAAAGAACTTTATCTATAAATACTATATAGCTTATAGGATATACTAGGGGTTATAATAGATCTAGAGTAAGTAGTAAGACTTATTAGAGTCTATATCTATTCTTATAAATATCTAGATCTAAATTACTATATATTTAATTATAGATCTCCTTATAAGTACTTCTATAGTAAATTTATAAGAAGCTTTTAATAGTATCTTAGTAGTAGTAAATTAATTTAGTAAGATAAGCTAATTTATATTTATCTAGATTACCCTTAGTAAGGAGAAGTTAGTAATAACTCTTATTTATAAAGTCTTCTAACTTTATAGAATCCTAAAAAAGGTTATTATAGACTAGGGTTCTATCTTTATAAAAGATTTCTAGATAGATTTTATATTTTATCTCCTAATTTATAAGGGCCTTTCTATAGCCTACTATCTATAGATAGATAGCTAGATAGAATACCTAAATAGTATGCTAGAATAATACTTATAAGCCTATATTAACTTTAGTTAGGAAGACTAGATTAACTATCTCCTTATTATAGAGTTTATCTATAATAATATATACTAGATATTTATTAAGAATATATCTTTTTATATAATTATAGGTACTAATCCTTATATAATAATAATAATTTCTATAAACTAACTAAAGGATAAGGTTATAGAAGAGTTAATTATAAAAAGACTAACTAAACTAGAATATACCTATAAATATATAAAGAAGGCTCTAGTAAGGGCCTAAGCCTACTAAAAGAAATATTATAATAAGAAATATATTATAAAGATATTTTAAGTAGGAGACTAAGTCTAAATCTCTACTAAGAATATATTATAGATTAGACTAACTATAAAGTTAGATTAGTTAAATACTAGTCTAGTATAAATTATAGAATATATAAATAACCTAGCCTACTATATGAATCTACTACTAGGCCTTAAGATATATAATATATTATATATCTTTATGCTCTATAAATATAAAGAGATAGAAGGGGTAAACTTATAGGAATACTTCTTTATTTATAAAGTTATAAAAGAGGATTATAAATACTATCTAGAGGTAATCTTAGACTTATAAGAGAATAGGTAATCTATAGAGTATTATATTTAATAGAAGAGATATACTAAGAAAGATAATACTTAGGAATTTATAAAAGATTTATACTATTTATAGATTTATAAAGACTATATAAGGAACCCTATAAGAAGGGGAAACTTATCTTTATTAAGAAAAAAATAAAATAATAAATAAAAAAAATATAAAAAATCCCTAACTTCTAAATCTACTATTATAAAGGTACCTAATATTAAGTATAAGTATAATATAGTTTATAGGACTAGAAAGATAGCTACTAAATCTAAGAATACTTAAAAAAGTAGTTCTTATAGCTATAATAAAGATAGTTATTATACTTCCTAGCTAGTCTACTAGAAATATATACTATAAATATTAAGCTTATACTTAGATTATAATAAATACTATACTCCTAGCTAGTAAGAGGTCTTACCCTAACTCTAATTATAAGAATAGCCTTATAGAGCTAGGTATAGACTCCTAGCTAACTAGGTATATTAAAGCTATACTAATTAATAAAGTAGAGTAAGATTTTAGTAATCTATACTTACTCCTAGCCTAATAGGGGTTATAATCCTATCTAGGATAGGAGTCCTATAACTACTACTAGATTACTCTATAAGTAGGGGAGGAACTAGACATCTAGGGGTAGCTTTACTATTAGGCTAGAAGCCTAGGTAGTAATACTACTAATAGTAGGTATAGAGATATCCTAGTTAGCCCTAGGAGTGCCTACTAGAGGTAGTAATAACCTAAAGATAAAGGCTCCCCTTATAACAGGGGCTAGTTATACTCTTATTAAATTAATAAAAAAGGGCCTGCATACAACCCTATATAGGGGGAGGAAGGCCCCTATAGGAATAAGGGAAAGAGAGGTGGGAGGAGCTATAGTAGTAGTAGTAGTAGTAGTAGTAGTAAGGGCAGCAGCAGTAGTAGTAGGCCTAGTAGGGGCAGTAGTAGCAGGCCTAGTAATAGTGGTAGTAGTAGTAGGCCTAGTAGGGGCAGTAGTAGCAGGCCTAGTAATAGTGGTAGTAGTAGTAGGCATAGGGGGGAGAGGCATAATAGATAGTAGTAATAATATAAAGGCTGCCTCCTCCTTCTTTTATAAAAACTATTAATAAGAATACTATAGACTTATAAGCTTTTACTTACCTCTAAGAGATTAGAGGAGATAGGTAAGAGTAGAGATATAGAAAAAAAGATATAAAAGAATATTTTTCTATAAAATATCTTATAATATATTAATTACCTCTTTCTAAATATTATAAATTATAGAAGGTCCCTTACTAAAACTTTTATAATAAAAACTAGAGAAAATATAAAAGATAGAGAGAAGAAGAGCTTATATACTCTATAAAAATTATTATTATCCTAAACCTTACTCTATAGAAATTTTATATAATAAGGCTATTAAGGGATTTATAGAAGTATTATAAGAATAAGTAATATAAATCTAGAATATATTACGAGAAGATTTTAATAGTAATAAAAATATTATAGTTAAAGAGGTCTATCTATAACTAAGCCTTTATAAGAAGATAAATAAATATAAGTTTATAAAAGAAGGGGATAGTAAACCTTTTTTATTATTTATAATTTTCTCTTTATAAAAAAGGGTTTTTACTAAATAAAGGTTTTTACTAATATATCTTATTATAAATAAGGAACCTTAGATAAACCTTAGGGGCTAAGATCTTTTAAGAGAGGAGATAGTTATAAGAATTATAAAGATTTATTATATATTATATTAAAGCTACCTTTATAGAGGAGCCTAATAATAAGAAGACTCCTTATAAGAGGTTATATAAATAATTATATAATCTATAAAGATATAAACCCTGCCTATAACCACTAAACTTTAGAGTTTAGTAATAATCTCTTTAAATAAGGATACCTATATTTAAATCTATTTATAATCATTCTTCTTTCACACTAGTTTCTAATTCTCGCGGATCATAGATCCTTATAGGTAGGGCTGTGTGACCTCATAGGCTCAGGATCCTACCTAATCACCCAGGGTGGCTGATAGGTGGTGGCTGCAAGGCTGCCCCTAGGGGCCAGATATATAGATGTTATGGCAGCTGAGGGCCAGAGGTGCCTAATAGGTATAAGACCTGCTCCCTAGAGATAGGCTTTAAGGTGAAGCCTTGAGAGGGGGAGGGTAGTTATAAGGATCTCTAAGAGAGAGAGATGCCTTAGCTACCTAGTGCACTACTATATAGGTCTAGATCCATGAGTTATCTGGCAACTTGTGGTAATGTTGGTCTTTTAGCCTTATGGTCTGTTAGAATCCAGCTAGCATTCTTATACCAATGCCAAAACCCCCCTACCATTCATTTTTGGTTAGGAGAACACTAAAAATTATATTTAACTACCACCTGAGTGGTTATCAACTAGCTTTTTTATCTTATACCTGCTTATTATAGTGTGATAGGTAGTAAGAAGAAAAAGAGGGCTCCTACTATAGTAATAGTAGGAGCCTCTATACTAATCTAGCCTACTATATTATTTAGTGAATTTAATAACCTTAACCTATAGGCCTATTTAACTAAGCTGCTAGAAGCTACTATATAGTTAAAGCAGACTACCTAGTCTATTAATAGGCTCCCTCTACTAGTAATATTTATATTACTCCTAGATTTTATCTAGTCTCTAACTAGTATGGCTTATAGTAGTGATCTCTCTATACTAATATAAGAGATCTATAATATTAAATCTATGCTTAAGGACTCTGTAAAGAAGTATACTAATAACTACTAGAAAATCTAGTAATTATTAGATATTTAGGCTAGTATATCTAGCACCCTAGGGTATATCTTTACTATAGCTCTTTCTAGTAGTTATATAGAATCTTTACTTATCTCTAATTAGATAAGATAGGCCTATATTAATAGTATACTTATTATAAATCACTATATTAGTATAGGTAGCTTACTAGTGCTAGTGACCCCCTAATATAGTAATCTAGAAATCTATATTTATTATACTAACCCTATAGTAATTAACCCCTATTAATATAATAAGTAGAAGCTTATTAAACAGGCTAACTAGGTAATCTAGGAGACCTAGAATACTATAATTAGCTATTAAAAGTTCTCTGCTAGTTAGGTACTACTAAGTAGGGATATAATACTTTAAGCTAATAGCCTTAAAGATACTAAGTAGCTAACCTAGTCTAATAGGTAGATCCTTATCCTTAGGTCTAATATAGGTATTAAGAAATAGACCTATAGGGATATTATATATAGGGTAGATTAATACTATCTTACTAATTATAAGATTACTAACTTTATTATCTAACTAAAGACTAATAATATAGATTACCTAATTACTACCCCTACTAATATAATCTATACTAGCTAACTATATAGCTAGTAGTAAGTAGATACTAATAAGCTTTAAAGCTCCCTAGTAATAGTAGATTTTAATAGTAACTATATAGCTAACTATATACTAGAGCTAAAGCTTATACTTAATAGAAAGAACCACCCTTATATATACTATAATAGGAACTTCTAACTATAGTAATATTTTAATTATTAACTATATAGATATATATCTGAGTACTATAAATAATCTATTATCTATATCTATTATATAGGTAAGTACTTCTCTACTGTCTACCTATATTTAAAGAACTATAAAAAGATAAGATACCCTATCTATACTATTAGTAAGTAGCTAGATAGTAGATACTTTACTTTTAACTATAGCTACCTAGTTTATATATAGAAGATAGTTATTATCTATACTAAGTAGCTTACTAGCCCTTAGTTCTATACTCCTATATAGCCACTATACTATAGGACCCCTATGCTATATATATATACTTAGAGGTAGATATCAGCCCTATAGCTACTACTAGTAGTAACTAGCTAAATATAGAGATAATAGATACTAAGGATATTAATACCTCTATAGATAATAATATAGAGGTAGGGGTAATTAAACCCCTCTATTTATAATCTATTATATATATAATAATATACTTATAGTTAAGTAGGGCTACCTACTAGACTAAGTCTTATATAGTAGTAACCTCCTAGGATAGGAGCAGGGCCTAACTATACCCTAAACTAATTATTAATATATTTAGTAAGAATAATAAATATTAGTGCTTAATAGCCCCTAGCTTAATAATTATAAATAATAATATAATTATAGAATTACTAGTAGAGCAGCACTAGTAGGCCTATTAACTTATTAGAATTAACTAAGATAAGGAACCCTTCTAACTAGGCTTATTATAAAGAGTATAGGAAGGGAAAGCTACCCTCTTTAGTTAGGCTCTTATATAGGTGCCTAAGATATCTAAGAATAAGAGTTAGGCTAATAGTAAGTTAGAAGATAAGTTATTAGCTAATACTAACTAGTTTATAAATACTAATAATTATAATAGTAGTAATAGTAATAATAGTAGTAAGAAATCCTACTAATATTAGTCCCTAAGCTCTAAATTATATAGGCTAATATCTAGTACTTATATATATAGGTATTAATATACCTCTTTAGTAAGAAAGAGATTTATAAGCTTAAGATCCTAGCTATCTAGGAATTAAATATTAACTAATATACTATACTAATAACCACCTACTTATAAGCCCTTAGGGGATACTTCTATATTCTATTATAGTTAATAGCCCTAGTAGATATAGAGATAGATATCCCTAGGGTCTGCTTCTTTATTAATAAATATCTTAATCTAAAGATATAATTTATATAATATATATATTAGGATCTTAGTACTCTAATACTCTACCCATAAAATACCTACCTATCTATATCTATAATATATATAACCCTAATAACTATACTAGCTAGCCTAGCCTACTAGGCTTATTAGTATATGCTTTATAGGCTCCTAGTAACTATATAATAATAGGAGATTTTAATCTCTACCACCTAATATAGATACACTAGGGATACTAATACTAGCATAAGGCTATAGATAACCTAATTAATATAGTAGGGGTAGTAGGCCTTAAGCTACTTATACTCTATAGAATAATAATATTTAAAAGGGTGGTAGAGGGGCAGCTATAATATATAATAATTAACCTAGTATAGGCCTTAGTAGGGTTAATAGACTAGCTAGTCTAATACTAAGCCTGCTAGGGATGGCTCTATATAGTAGATTATATATTTATTATTACTAAATTTAATCTTATACTCCTACTATAGGATAAGATAAAATACTAAAACTAATAGAAGGCTAACTAAGGGCCTTCTAAAAGATATTAATAATAGCTCTCTTATTACTATAAATACTAGAGACCCCCTAAGGAGCTAACTATACTATTAAATATCTTATTTATACTATTCTTAGGGCTGCTAATACTATTATACTAGAGGTCTAGCTTTACTAATACTCCTATATAGGATATATAATAGAGCTAGCCTAGTTATAAGTATAGGTTAATTATATATATTAGTAAGCCTAGAATAATACTAAAGAGGATATTATAGCTTACTAGTATATAATTTATTAACTAGAATATTATAGTACTAAGACTACTATAGCTACTTACTAAGAGTATATAAAGAAAGTTATCTAGTTATTAGATAGATTCTAGTAGCTCACCTAGTAGATCTATTAATAAAGATAGCTATAGCTAATATTTACTCTAACCCTAAGGATAGGAGACTATAAGATTAATAATCTAGAAAAGAAGATAACTACTCTATAAAAGACCCTATTCCTACTACCCCCTAATATAAACCTAGCTAATATAAAGAGGTTTAATTACTCTAAGCTAATTAAGGTCTCCTTAGTTACTAAAGAGAAAGTAATCTAAACTATCTAGTAAGCTATATTAAATAAGGCCCCTAATCTAGATAGTATACTAAATATCACTCTTTAATATACTCTTAAGATCTCTAGTATTAATACCTATCTTATTACTCTCTTTAATATTTATCTAACCTTAGGCTACTACCTAGAATACTTTTATAAATCTATAACTATTATTATCTAAAAGCCTAGTAAGCTAGACTATATAACCCTAAAAGCCTATTATCTAATTACCCTACTTAGTACTATTAAGAAGATACTAGAGGCTA